AAGCAGGCTTGATGACTGCTTGCTACCCACTCACAGAGAATAACGAGTTAATGCTTGTTAAATGCTTTGAGGTTCTCAGATGCAAGGCCCCATATATCATATATAAGTACAATCTAACAATATAATAAGCACCCACCAGTAATCCAGTTTATTTTTTCTTATACTCCTTAAGAAAATGACAAGCACCAGTAAGATTTCCCAGGCATGTTGCATATCTTCTTTCCCTTTGCAAAGACATGTTTTATTCTTAAGGAAAGCCAGGATGTTTGAGGGGTACCTGAAAGGGTGCCTGTATCTGCCTTCTCCAGTGTATAACTGCTCATTAGTTCAAGAATCAACATAGGATAGTAGGTTACTGAGCACCTACATGCAAGACATTTGGTTCTGTGCAGTCGTTTGGTCCTCAGTAAAGTTGTATGATTTTGACATTACCACACAAGTAGGAATGTGAAGCCGCTGAGACCTGTGGAGGTTTCAACAGTCCCCAAACCAGCAAGAAGTGGGGACAGGTCCGAACTCTGCAGATTCGTCCACCCGCTGGGCTTCTCCCCTCCTAAGCAGATCGACTCCTCTGAGCAGGCATTGGGTGGTCCTGTTGGGAATGGCCCGAGTAAAGTGACTTACCAGAAGCAAACCTTGCTCCAAGTTCTCAGCCTACGTGAGGCTTCTTCCATGGGACCCTTAGTTTCATAAAGTTGCCCTGAATTGAGTTGCCAGCTGGTTGCTGGAAAATTAAGACTTGTTAAAGAAAATTCACTTGTGAAAACCATTGCAGGAAATAAAATAATTGGTAAAGGAATTTGGCATGTCTGTAAATAACGAGAGTACAGGAATGGACCACAGGTGCGTATGTGATGCCCAGAACAGTAAGAATCACTTTCGTTTGAAGCAATTTATTTAAAAAGGAAGGAGAAAGAGTGGAAAACAAAATACTCAAAAAATAAATTGCAGCCGAGTGGGAAAATGTAAAACTGGCCTAAATTTAAAAGCTTGATTCTCGCCTATTTACTGAGACTAGTTTCTCCGCCAATGACCCTGGAAAGGGCGGTGAGGTAAACGGCATGTTTCCTCTGGGTGGAGCACAGGGGTTAACTGAAGTCAACGGTGAGATGATAGGGCTTGTCCAAGTAACCTAGATCGAGTAAGCAAACTTCTGACTCTTCTCTACCTGTGCGATTTGCTTTATTTTTCAAGTTTTATTAATTGGTTCATCCTACTCTTTGCTGCTGAAGCCCGTGAGACTGTTGTTGTCAAATCTTGACTGAAAAGACCTTGATTTCCCTGTGGGTAGCTTTGTGATCAGCCATGGTTTTCACTCAGTAGAACAGAAAGAGCAGAGGGTGGAGCCTCCAGGTCCAACTCTTCATCCAAATTCTCTACCAGCTGGCCTGAAACCCGGGATGAGACATCCGTTTCTACAAATGTACTCTTTCGTTAGGTGAAAGTATTGAACAAAATGATATATAAAGTCCTTGCACAAACGAAAAAGATCCTATCCAGTTAAATGAAGAAGTCACCTGCATCCAAGAGCTCCAGGACACACAGGGTGTGGGGAGGATCCAAGCCCAAGGGCACGAGTGAGTGGGCCCTTCACTCGGAGCAGAGTGAATGGTTTCAGACAATATTACACAAGAGCCTATGCACCTCAGTCATATGAATGCTTCCAATGAAGATAGCCCAAATTCATCATTGTACATATTCATCCAAATGATGTATTTCACACATTCTTGATGTTCTGCCTTAGAGGAAACATGACGTTTTACGGAAATATACGACACATCAATATTTTCTACCAAACTATCTGCCATAGACAAAATTTGCTGTGTAAAAATTAGTGAGAATAAAACATTCACAGTGTACTTAGTAAAGGGAAATGGGGTAACTTAAAAAAAAATCTTCCATATGCATTCACCTGTATATAGAAATGACCAAATGCCTTGTCTTTAGTAGATGTTCAAACAGTATTTGTTGGAATGAATAAATATGTTCCTTTTCTGCTACACTAATTTTCTTTCTTCCTTTCCTTCCTCTACTCTTTTTGTTTTGTTTTCTAGATTTGGGGGCAGGGTCATAAAGAATTAATCACCAGGGCACCTTCTAGCACCCACCATAGGACTGTCTAAGCCATCCTCTGAGTGGGCTGCCCCAAGCTCTTCTCTAAGATGCATTAAAGATCATTCTGAAGCTAGAAGCATGTCCATTCAGCCCAAGTATAAATTAGGGGAAGGCCAATCCAATTTTCTCTTTAAGTTAAAACCACACCAAAAATTGTTTTTCAGGGTCTAATTTTTTATGGCTTGAGGGAATATACAGATTGAACATGGACCAGTTAGGTTACTTTTGTTTGTTTGTTTATGTAAGAGACTCTTTTTATGAAAATTCTCCTAATCCAGATGGGTGTCTAGCACAATTCTCGAATTCTGTTCTCTCTGTTCGACCTGCAATTCTGTCTATCAATGTATAGCTTCCTGAAAAGCACGAGCTGTTTGATGAACTGAATAGCAGAGTGTACAGTTAGAGTTTGGTGGGAGAGCCAAAGCTCACCACTTCTCTCTTTTGTGTCGTTCCCTCCTGAGTCTGTTTGGATTACTGTCATCACTGACGGTGGTCTATCCATTTTCTGGGTCATGTAAATACCTGTCGTACCAAGACTGCTGGTCATAATTAATTATTGTAAGTAGAGCTCTCACATCCATGGATGAAAGGCATTAGATAAGTACAGAGTATTACTATTATTAATTATGTTTGTTATTACGATGATTGCTGGCTACTAATATAGCTTTATTGGAGCCTCTCAGGAGTAATGATCATGCTGATGATCTTGAACTTTTGGGGAACAGGATTCTTTGCTCCTGTGCCTGTCCTAGTTGATGTCTGATTTCATTCAGACTGGTTAGGATTTGATCCAATTGGTTTATTCGAGATTAGTGAAAACAGCACTAGCAGAATTGGAGGGTGAATAATATCAACTTTGGCGAAAGATACAAGATAACTTTTTTTAAAAGTGAAAAGTTCTCTTCTTTTTGCCTCTACCTATGCTGTGCTGAGACAAAATGTTTCCACTCTGTGGAAATTACCCATTTTACAAGGAGGCTAATGTCGGATTCATTTATTCTGTTCAAAATTTCTAAACGTGGTTCCAGATTTTCTATATATAGAAATTCAATTCAATAAGATTTTGTTGTTATTGTTGGAAAACATCTATTTTTCCCATGTCTCTGCTTTTTTCAAGTATCTATCAGTCCACAAAATGCCTAAAATTTAAATATATTATATATCCTTAATAAATTTCCAAGATAGTTGGAGAAAGAACAAGCAGTTCAACAGGTAAAATACATTCTGATAAGTTTTGTGATAGAAATATACCTAATGCACTAATGGAGCTGAAAGAAGAGAACTTTAGAACAATACAGCGGAGAATGCCAATGCCTACTTTGGCAAGATGGTGAGAATGGAAAAGGGAGAGAGAAGAAGTTCCAAGATAAGTGAACCAGGTAATGAAAATGCATCAGTAAAGTAAGAGAAACCAAAAAACCAAACTTACTGCCATCAACTTGATGCTGGCTCATAGCGACCCTATAGGACAAGGTAGAATAATTGCCTCTGTGAGTTTCTATGACTTGTAACTCTCTTTAAAAGTAGAAAAGAAATGAAACATTCTATACGAGGTTTTAAAGAAATGTGGTATGTCTGGAGAGTGACAAGACTTGGAAAAACAATATTGGCCAAGTAATATAGGACTTGAGACTTAGTATGAGTCCGAGAATCTACATGCCATGCTAAAGAGCTTGGGTTTTAACCAAACCAATAAATCACTGTCAGGGCGGGGTGTGTGTGTGTGTGTGTGTGTGTGTGTGTGTGTGTGTGTGTGTGAATGCTGACTCCTAGTGACCCTTTGGGACAGAGTAGAACTTTCCCTTAGAGTTTCCTAGACTGTAAATCTTAATGGGAGCAGATAACCTAGTCTTTCTCCTTTGGAAGGGCTGATGGGCTTTAAAAGTTGACCTTGAAGTTAGCAGCCCAAGGTGTAACCTACTATGTCACATTAGACAATATTAAGTAGGGACTGACAGAACACTACTTTAGAACAATCTTTTCAACGGTAGAAGGGTGGAATGAAGAAAGCTTTGGAGGTGTATATCGAGAACTTGGAGGAGGAGAATCCACGGAGCCTGATGACCAATTGCATATGGAAGATACAGGCAAGAGAAGCGTGAAGATGACTCATAAATTTCTAGTTTGCACACACCTGTGGATGGTAGCGCCCTTCACTGGCGTGGAGAACATATGAGAAAGTCTGGGTTTTCTCAAGGAAGATGATAAATTCTGTTTTTGAAGTGTGGCAATCCTCTTCAGCTTTACTTCAGTAAATATGGAAGACGAGCAGACAGGGTGACAATGTTAGGACACTCACTCTGTAAAGAATCAAAGACCGTTTGGTGTTTTCTCCACGGAGAAGGTCAGTGCTTAACATTGAGGAGATAGTGCTGTACAGTTTGAAAATATACCTTTACAGCCAAGAGATATGCCAACAACCTTCAATGTTAAGAAAGAAAAAGATTGCACAATCTTTAAGAAGGCAAAGATGCAGAATCAATTCCTACGTTAGCCCTGTGGTGTGTCAAAAAGCTTTACATTTCTTTCAATTAAGTGCTAACATTTAAGTGTGGTAGAGCTCAGTCCAATTAATAAGCAAAAACAAACTATAATGAGATGCAGACGTGGTTTGAATATTCTAGCCCATGGGTTGGCACACTTTTGAGATGGAAGAGCCAATCCTGTCCCTCACAACAATTTGAAAATTATTGGAGAGCTATAAATGTACTTTACAAACAAATGAAATTATCATTATCTGAATAATCTCCTTTAAATTTTTTTCAATTTTATGTCAGAGTCCCAAAAGAGCCATATGCTGACCCTTGTTGTAGCCCATTCAGGCAACTAGTTAATAAAAACTTAGTTCGAGAAGGCAGCCATCTTGCTCTTGCTGCGTGCTGGTGTTTGAGGACCCTCCCTGCCTCAGATTTACCATCAGCATGAATCAAGAAAAGTTAGCCAAACTTCAGGCTCAGGTCCGGATAGGGGGCAAGGGTACAGCTTGCAGAAAGAAGAAGGTGGTACATAGAACAGCTACAGCTGATGACAAAAAGCTTCAGAGTTCTCTTAAAAAATTGGCTGGGAATAATATAGCTGGTATTGAAGAGGTAAACATGATTAAAGATGATGGAACAGTTATTCACTTCAACAATCCCAAGGTCCAAGCTTCCCTCTCTGCTAACACATTTGCTATTACTGGCCATACAGAAGCCAAACCAATCACAGAAATGCTGCCTGGAATATTAAGTCAGCTTGGTGCCGACAGCTTAACAAGTCTTAGGAAATTAGCTGAACAGTTCCCCAGGCAAGTGTTGGATAGCAAAACCCCAAAGCCAGCAGACATTGATGAGGAAGATGATGATGTTCCAGATCTCGCAGAAAATTTTGATGAGGCATCAAAGAATGAAGCTAACTGAAATCTTTTCTGGTTTTTGGAAGTTGGCATGGACTAGATTTAACAGATCAGCTATGTGGTTCCAAAGTTTTACAGACACAGAGAACATCACCTGTTAGTAGTGAAGTAATATAAATATTTTGTATATTAAAAAAAACAGTTCGAAGCATCTAATAAAAAAAAGCAAAGCTAACTATGGGTGACTAGAGATATAAATTATTAATAAACAGTTCTACATAGATTGTTTATTGTCCAGCTAAGGAGAGTACTATTCCTTTACCACAAATGCCCAGAAAAATCTCTGTACTACCTAGTCACCAAGAAGAATTATATCTTGAGCATCATCACCCCTGTTTTCTAGAAATACAGTTATATTCTGGGATAATTGAAACTTACAGTATATTATCCGAAGGGAATAAACATACTAAAATCCATGTTCCCCTTTCTATCGTGTCTTAGTTACTAATGCTGCCATCAAACAAAATAAGACATCACAAGTGGCATCTTTCCAGAACAGCAATGTACTTTCTCACAGTTGAGGAACCTGGGATGCATTCTAAGAGGTCCTTCCCAGCAGTCAGCTATCCTTAAAGATGTGTCTGGTGTGTGTGCTTGTCGTCATGTGACCTCTTCCCCCTGTGCATGTCTCTGAGTCTTTTCTGTTTTGTTTGGAACTCAGAAGTGATTAGGTTTAGGACTCATTCTACACCGGCATGACCGCATGAACACAGAAACACCCTGTTTCCACTTCCAAAGAGTGTCGTATTTACAGGAATCGGGATGAGGATTTCAACATACATATTTTAAATGTGGAGCATGCAATTTAATCCTTCATACATTACTTAGAATGGACACTGAGAAATCACCTCACCACAGGGGACATTTATTTGAGAGCTCCTTCCAGTTCCTCTTGCAGCTCGATGATGCATTGTGACTATTCCATAAAGCCTTAGTTATTGAGTGCAGGAGAAGAACATTGAAAATACTATGGACTGCTGAAAATACAAACAAATCTGTCTTAGAAGAAGTATGACCAGAGTGTTCATTAGAGGCAAGGATGGCAAGACTTCATCTTACATACTTTGGACAGATTATCGGGAGAGACAAGATGATTAATAAACCGTTCTCTATAGGAGGTATCGAACTCAGAACCAGGCAGTGTTTCTTTCTGTTGTGAATAAGGTTACTATGGGTCAGCACCTACAACAATAACAGAAGTACCACAAAGGAGTTGCTTAAACAAACAGAAATTGAGTTTCTCACAGTGTAGGGGTCTACAAGTCCAATTCAGGGTTCTAGTTGTAGCGGTAGACTGTCAGCCCTTTCCTTTCACCACTGGTGCTGGCATTCCTTGGAGACCTACCTGTGTCTCGGCGCCAATCATTCCCGGGGCCTCAGCACAGGGATCCTCGGTTCACAGGACATGCTCCCTCCTCAGCTCTTCTTTCTCGGTAGCAGTCAGTTCCTCTCTTCCCCTCTCACTTCTTTCTCTTTTCAGTTCTTGTAAGATCAACAGGTGGTGCAGGCCACACTTCAGGGAAACTCCAAGTTTCGGACTGAGACATTTCATAATTTACTGACTGATCACATCAGACCACATGGTGCCAAATTACATCATTACATATTGACAAATCACTCAGACCCATGTCCCACCAAAATTGACACATATTGGGGTGGGGGCTATCCAATTAATGGCACATAGTAGTGGCATGTGAATGGAAGTGATGCCTTTTTGGAGTCAGGGATTTTTAGATGTAATGGCATCAGAGCTAAATTGTGAAGGCCTGGTTTGCTGAAGGCTGTGGATGACACTGGGAGAGCAAATCCATCTATTGCGTGCACACAGAGAGGAAGGCTCCTGTGAATCCCCTCTGAGCAGAACCAGACCGAGGACACTGTAAATCATGTTCAAATTCAACACCTTATCATTCGGCCTCCCTTTTGACCCATTTCAAATTTCCTCTAGCTTTTAATACTTTTTACCCTCTTTTCCATTGAAATCTTGCTGTTTTATTTTGTTGTTGTTGTTAGCGTTTATGCTGTTGCTTTAAATCTGTTTTTCTGTATATGAAATCCAAGATTGGTAAATCTATAGATACAGTAACTGGATTAAAGTTTTCTTGTGGGTATGGCCAAGGTAGATTGGGGGGAAATGAAAAGTTAATAACAATGAGTATAAGAAAGATGAACATGTTCTAAAATTGGTTGTGGGAATGATTGTACAACTTTTTTTATATGATTGAAATGTTGAATTGTATGACGTGTGGATGGATTATGTGTCAATTTTTTAAAAAATGTAAGATATTGTACCTTTTCCGCATCCATGCCCCATTAGCTGTTTGCAGGCCAATGACAATGCCCTATGCTATGGTGCAGCCACGGGTTGGAGTGGACTGTATCTTGAGTCGCCGCACGGAGCAAAGGCATCAAGAACACTCACATTGGCCTGACGTATGACTAAGAAGTAAACATATTGTATTAAGACACTGGATTTTCATTTTTATTTGTTTTTGGCAGTTAATGTTCCTCTTACAATAGCAATAAATATTATTTATTTTTAGTAATAATTTATGAAAATTTTTGTGAAACGAATTTTTTAAGCGCCAATAACAGAATTTGCATTCTTGGGTGCTTGCTGTATAAGCTTGGGAGTCAGTCTCCAAGTCTAATCTCCTCATCATCACAACAGGGATGAAGATTAAATAAATTAAGGTTTGTATACTGTGAAAAATAAATGAAAAGGGTCATTAAAGCTGTGGCAGTGTCTCACAGTCTTTGGAATCACACATTCCTTTATTCTGGAACACCCCCATCCTTTCTCTTGTTAGGACCCCTGAACTTTACCCGTCCATTTCAAATGCTCAAATTAGCTTCTCTCTGAAGACTTTGGTGATACCTCATTTCTTTCTTTTTCTCCCCTGCTCCTTCTCTGCCCTACTTGACATTAATATTTCCCTTCATTTGAACGTTGTGTACTTTATGATGAATTAATTCCACAAATAAATTTAATCACCTAATATTATGAATCTGGATTGAACTTGATGGCAGGGAATATTTATTGGTGGAGTAGTGAGTTACACATTTGGCTGTCAATGGAAAGATTAGTACTTCCAACCCATTAGATGCTCCACAAGAGGATAAGTCTTTGTGGTCCCATAAAGGTGTACAGCCTTGCCAGCCCACGGGGCAGCCTATTCTGTCATACAGCATCATTGGGGGTCAGAGTGGATTCCATGGCACTGAGTTGGGTTTCATTTTGTGTGTGTGTGTGTGTGTGTGTGTTTGTCACCAGATCAAAGCTCCTGTTGATGCAAATCCTTTTTGTCTGCTAACTGAAAGGTTGGAGGTTGGAGTTCACCTACAAACACCTAGAAAGAAAGGCCTGGGGACTAATTTTAATGATCAGTCATTGAAAACCCTACAAACACAGCTCTACTCTGACACACATGTGCTTATGTGCGTTCCATGGCCTAGATGACAACTGGGTCGATATTTGAGTAAAGAGCACTAGATTAGTTGGGGACAGAAGGGAAGGAAAAGCCAGGTTATGCAAGGGCTTGAAATCCAAAGTAAGGGTAAAATGGGAAACCAGTATAGAGCTTTAAGCAAGGAGAAGGAGAAATTGATAAGAGTTAAAAAGAATCGCTACAAAGTTATAGAAACCATTATTAAACAGAAATACCAAAATGTGAAGCTCAATTTATTCTCCAATTATATTTATACATTTCTGAAGGTGGTGTTTCAATCTCTTTTAACGTTCACCCTAATTGATCAAACATGCAATCAAGATGCATTGACAATTATTGCTGGTTGGAATGCAAGCATTGGTGAGTTAGTTAATTGTGCCAACCTGGCCAATAATCACATGTGGGGCTAATTGAAAGGCGGAGGGATAAATGGGTGGTGAGCCTCACCTTTCTAGTTCTCGGGTCTCTTGCTTTGTGATGGTCACACCAGATTGCAGCTGCCTTAGCAGTTCCCTGCTTCAGCTTGCAAGACTGACTTCCTACAAGACATCCCCAAGGAGAAGCCACATGGACCTATCCAAATGCAGCCCCAGGTGCTGGAGCAGCCGTGTGGAGACCCCTGCTAGTGCTGAGATGCTTATTCGTTCACTGACTCAGCTTTCCTCCTGCAGACGGCATCATTGCCTCTGTTTTGTGAGGTGGAGGACTTTGTGGACTGGTGTTGGGTTAATGGGTTAATGTTGGACTTGTGGGCTTGGGCAGCATTGGGTTGGGATGTTTTCGTGATCCACATTTTCTTTACATAAAACTCTCTTATACATGAGTTGCTGCGGATTTGTTTCTCTAAAGTACCTAGACTAATACAATTGGAAACAAAGAGAAGTAACAGTAGTTGGAAACTCTGGTCAGTAATAAAAACAAAGCTGGAGAACTCATGATAGAATTTTGCAAGACCATTGATGCCTTTGTAGCAAATATTGTTTTACAGCAATATAAATGGCAACTATACACATGAAATTCTCTAGATGAAATACACAGAAATCAAATTGACTACATCTGTGGGACGAGGCAATGGAAAAGCTCAATATCAGCGGTTAAAACCAGGCCAAGGGCCAACTGGCACCAACTATTAATTGCTCTTATGTCAGTTAAGATTGAAGAAAATTAAAACAAATCCAGGAGAGTCAAAATATGACCTTGAGTACATCTCACCCAAATTTCAAGAATAGATTTGATGCCTTAATTACTAATGACAGGAGGTCTGATGGTCTGTGGGAGAACATTGAGAACATCATACGTCAAGAAAGCAAAAGGTCATTTCGAAGACAGGAAAGAAAGAAATGACCAAAGTGATGTCAAGACTCTGAAACTGGCTCTTAATTATAGAGTAGCTAATGGAAATACAAGAAATGATGCAGTAAACGAGCTGAAGGGAAAAAGGAGAGATGTTGAAAACATATGTTATCTCTTGAAGTGGTTGAATGCTAACTCCTTCTTTTGGTAGAGTTACTGCTCTGTGCATGTGTAATCGTATCATGCGGAAGCAGTCCGTCTCAGGAAGTCACATACTGTCTGGTTCCGTTGATATGAAATGTACA